ATCTTGAAATATCCTTTTTGATGATGAATGAAATAAGATTTCCCTTGAATCTTTCATTCTTGGCATTAAACCGCATGATTTCTTGATTCAAAATGGACAATAGTAGCCTATTTTAGCTCACTAACACGTGGCATATTAATCTTTATACGTTTTGATGACTTTCAGTTTTCCAGCTTCATGCTTTGTATGTTTTAAGATGCAATTACTGATAGATGTTTGCAGCTTCTGCTTCTCATTTTGAGTTATTCCCCTCAGCAAGTGAGGGTCTGGAAGCCTTTAATCGTAAAGGCTGAGCGTACACCGCGTCATTATGGTTGATTCTCTTCTTCAGTCATATTTGAGTGCTGTCAACCTGAGTGGCTCATCTTCTCACATGGTCTCTGACAATCTTGTACTCCTTATCAACTCATTTCAGTAGCTAATTCCTTAGGAGTGGACAGCCTATTCTTGTTTCATAGTTTGTTCTTAGTCTGGAAGTTCTGTTGATATCTGTTCACTTTGGGTGACCCTATTAGTATTTGAAATACTGGTAACATAGCTCCTAGCACCACAGCAACACGTAAACCACCATAGTCCAACAAAACAGACAAGTAGTGGCTTATTAGTTAATTCAATTTATTTTCAGAAGGCTTAAAAAATACTTCCAGTTATACTATGGTCACAGATAGCAAGTATGCCATCATTAACTTTGTGTTTCTTACCCAAAGCCCATCTGTAGATTATTGGACATCTAATGGTCAAAAGGAAGAGACGAGCTAGTCATGGTATAGCATAGCACTGATGAAACATACAACTTTCCTCTAGTTTTTTAATGCTCCTCATCCCCCATCATCATGACCAGAACATGTACACTGCTACAGATAAGAATCCACAACACAGGGAATCCAGGATAGATAAATCCCTTGGGACCAACAATGAGAATAGAGATACCAGGAGATAAGGGGAAGGCAGGGGGAGAAAGAGGGACTCCATCACAAGGATCAACATATAACCCCTTCCCAGGGGAACAAACAACAGTAAAGTAGGTGAAGGGTAACAGAGGATGATGTAAATATGAAAATAATAATCTGTAACTTAGCAAGGATTCATGAGGGAGGGAGGGTGGGGGAGGGAAGGTGAAAAATGAGCTGATATCAAGGGCTCAAGTAGAAAGAAAATGAGAAAATATGAGAAGAAAATAAAGGGACCGATGGCCC